TCTTCATCAAGTCAGGAAGAGCCATCATCCAGAGGTTCTGTGCCATCATTCAGTCCACGCCAAAGCTTAGTCCAGTTTAGTCTCTGAACCTATCCAGCTAACTTAGTCTCTGTTCCTGGGTATTCTCCAGCTAGTGCTGCACTGTGGTACCCAGACCCTCACATGGAGTCTGCTGGGAGCAGAGTCTGTTGGGTCCACATGACTGCCACAGGTAAGAATGCATGAATGAACTGGCAAATAAATGCATGTCATGAAGAGAGGCTTTTGTTAAGCGTTGATTATATTACCTCAGGCTTTCAAGATGACCAATCTCTTTCCGAAACCACCACAGGCTTGAGCTGGGCTCTCCCCTTAACCAATCCAATTCCTAGATCATCCAGGGTTCTGGATGACCAGAACCCAATCCAATCCTTTTCCCAGCCTAGATTCCTTCCCATTATGGTTGCCATCTTGGCTTCTATTGCACATGTCCCAAAGTTCTGTTGCATCGTCTGGTTTCTACTGCTCAAATGCCCAGCAGAAGAATTTCCCCTTTGTTATTTATTCCTCCGCCCCTCCATAATCAGGGTGAATAAACTAGTTGTACCTCAGGGAGATTGGAAAGCCAGTCCTTCCTCCCTAAACAGAAAGACGGAGGAGTGTTAATCCTGTTGGCAGAGCAGTTACCCCTGGGGTGTGTCAAACTGCAGTTTCCAACCTAATTAAGCTTAGCCAGTTTTGCTCCCTTCTCTTTTATTAATATTTAGCTATCTACACAGGCAATTATACAGATTACCAGCTGGACAGCTGGAACTTAATTCTACAGAAGAACTCTGGGAAGCAGCAGAAAACTAATGTTTCCCAGTAACCCTGCGTGAAGGGTGAGGGAGCTGGTGTTTATATGCTGACTGCTATGAGTTGTGTATAAATGTTTTCACAGAGGGTGGGGAAAAAACTAGAACAGCAGTGTCTTGGTGAGGGTTCCCTGAGAAGCAGGAGTGCAGTCAAGAACTCGAGTTCAACCATTTATTTGGGAAATGATAAAGAACATAGCAGTAAGGGAGCAGTGATGTGAGACAGGGAAACAAAGACTGTTCCTGGAACTTCTGGCCTGTCTCTAGCATAGGGCAGATCCTGCAAACACAGAGGTGAAGATTCTAGCAGAAGGAATTTGCTCAGAGCACACACACACAAAACAGTCTTAAGTCAGGATAGAAAGAAGTTAGGGATAACTCCCAATAAGTGGAGTGAAGAAATAGGAACAAACTTCACAGGCCAGTAAACTACTAGGTCCTCTCATCAGGGCCCCCACCTCCATGCACTATCAAAGGAAACAGTTGTGGCAGGAAACCCCTGGGATGGTCGCAGAAGTCAAAAACAACAAGAACTAGTTAAAACTAGATCATTCCAAGATGGAAGAAAAATTAACCAGAGGCCAACCTGAAAGCTCATTATACCATCATTGTAATGAAAAGTGACACCACAAGTTAAGGGGAGTCCCAAGGAAGCGAACACCATGACACTTTCAGAAGAATGGATCATATTAGGAATAAGATCCCCTCCCGAAGTCAGAGAGAGTATTTGGCACCACAAAATTCAAAAACCGGGATCACATAAACTGCCAGGAATTGACTGTGTGCACAACTGATTCACGAGTTGGCCTGTGTCCACTTGAAAACAAACTCTCACTTCTTTCAAAACAGCGCGCGTTCCCTGTTATCTCTGTGTTTGCCTGAATAAAACTTGCTTTCATTCTTCCTCCAAATTTCTCGAAACCTTTCCTGCATGAGTCAAGAGCCTGGAGGTCACCTGACACATGAAAGGTCCCAGACTATGCCAGGACAGGGACAGCCCCCAGCATGGAACCAGTTTAGTGATGGTCTCAGGGATATGGGCATGCCACTGAGAACTCATTAAAGTGGTAACTCAAATAACTTGTTGAAGTGAAAAAACTAATCATGTATCTAGTGTAGCAGAATCCCCACTGGAGTTTTCAGTCAAAGCCATCCAAGATAAAGTCACCTTGCCAAGCAGAGAGGGATGGGTCTGGTTGTTGGGTCAGCTCCTGATGAGCTTTAAATTTTGAATGAGCTCGAGCAGGTGTTAAAAAGACACTATATCACCTATCCTAGCTCTCCTACATCAAGTTATGGGAACAAAATGAGATAATATACATGAAAATCCTTTGAAAAGTAGAAAGCAATAAACAAAATACAAAGTATAAGGCACAATTGTGTGTGTCCATCTGAAACAAGAATTTTAGTTCATATTTTAGAGAAATTATATTTCCTTTAACTTGAGGCTTTCATCAAAAAAAAGAAAAGTAGATCATAGCACATTTAGAATCTTCTCTGGAGCCTCATTCTTTGTTGTTGATAAGAAGATGACAGCAAAATGTGTTGATGACTCTTTCCTTAGATATAATAAGCTCTTGATTATTTGTGAATCCATCCCTGAGTTATTTGGTAGTCTACAATAGTACTCCCTGGTAAAAATGCCTTAATCATCTTTGTATCAGAGAACGTAAAGCTGGATTTTCAAAAATAACAAGGCATGGAAGATAACACAAGTTTTCCTATTTCCTTTACTTACCATCCTATCTGAGATAACTGATTTTAAGTAAAAGTATTAAGGGCTGTAGAGAGATATAGGACTTCTTTCAGCTTCCATACCTCTGTGTGCATTCACTAAATAGGGATATACTAGATTATGTGTGTTTTTAAGTCTCAATTTTAAATTCTTTTCTCCCCATAAAGTTTGTAAAATAGGATTTTTTCATTCAATGTATATGGAACATGAGTAGCCTCAGAGCTACTCCGGAACACACAGGAAAAGACTATATATTTTCAACTTGTTTTTAATAACAACAGTCACAAGGGGAAGATAAACCGCTTAAGTTTTTTCAGGATTTACTCTGTGCTTGGTACTGGACTAAGCATATCATATAGATTCTAACATTTAATCTTCCCAATAACTCTTTGGCTTAAATACTACTTTTTATCTCCATTTTATACATGAAGGAGATGAGTCATAAAACCTATTTAATGCCACCTCCACTAAGAATATTTACACATTTGAAAATGACAGTGGTAACTTATGACTGAAGATTGTCTCATGCTGAAAATTTCCTTCAGTACACTGCAATATCTCTTTGCTAAGAAGCATGGGTGAGTCAGCCTTCACTATCAAAAAATAATGACCTTTAATCTCTCTTTTGGGAAGAGTACAAGTACAAGGTCTGTCCAGAAAAAGTTGAGCCATTGTTAATGTGATGAGAATGGTTTGCATGACATCGATGTAACCTGGCAGCCAAGGGGAGTGGACTAGAATGTGCATGCACAATATAGTGACGACTTTACTGTACTAGTCAGTGGGGGTGGTAAATACCATTGAGTGAGCATGTGTACTGTGTAGCCATCACATTCAAAATGACTGAGCACCCAGAGCAATGAATATGCATCAAACTTTGTGTTAAGTTTGAACATTCCTCTGAGGACCCTATTTGGATGATTCAGAAGGATGTAGCTATGGGCGATTGGTGACTGGCAGCTTCATCACAACAAAGCGGCTGCTTATGCATCATGGCTTGCAGAATTTTTTGGCAAAATATCAAATCATCCAGGTGACTCAGATACCCTACAGCCTAGATATGGTGCCCTGCGACTTCTGGCTTTTCCCAAAACTAAAATCACCTTTAAAAATGAAGAGATTTCAGACTGTCAGTGAGATTCAGGAAAATATGATGGGGTAGCTGATGGCAGCTGGGAGGTCCCAAGGTGCATATTTTGAAGGGGACTGAGATGCCATTGTCTTATGTACAATGTTTCTTGTATCTTCTTCAATAAATGTCTCTACTTTTCATGTTACATAGCTGGATACCTTCTGGACAGACCTCATACAGTCATTAGTACAAAAAGGACACACCTCTTCGTCTATGGCTCTGCTGTGTAGTTCTGTGTAATAAGTGAACATTCGGATGAACTCTGAATATCCATGCACTTGGTTTCCTGTCCAGGTGATAATGACACTTGCCATTGTTTACATGAACAAGAAATTTGCCACCACTCAATGTGTTCATTTTTCTATTTTGAACAATCTTGATATATAATCTTGCAGAAACGAGAAAGTAGAATAATTCAAAATGCCCTTATTTTAACCTGGGAAGACTCAAGTAAGTGAAAGGCCAATCACAAAGAATTGGTAACAAAGAAGACCTACATTTATTGAGCACTAGAATAAAGCCCTTGAATGAGTAACCCCAGTGAAACTTCACAATTCCCTTATGTGTAAGATATTACTATTGTTTCTATCCTAAAAATGAAAACAATAACAACAAAAAAAACCAGGTTTAGATAAATGAACTAACATACCTTGCCTGCATCTGTCTGATTTAACAACCAAGACATTTAACTGCAAAGATACCCAGGGACACAATAAGACCGCATTAAACTATTGTAAAATATCAAAGTTTGAGATTATCTAATTTCAGTTGGTGAAAATCCTGATACAGACAATGTTTTAAAAATCAATTCTGTTATATTATATGGCTAGAAATAAGTTAAGCACGTTAAAAATGACTACTTGCAATAAACCAGCATGCATAATCATTTGCTAAAGACACCCTCACAGAAGCACTAACTCACAGGATTAAAAAGGCCTACAGAACTTCTTGGGAGACTGACTTGAAAAATTTACTTATTATAATTGCACTTGCATGTGTTGTGTGTTTGTGTGTATAAAAGCCTGAAATACTACCAATTATATCATCATAAACATTCTAAAGGCAGATATCTGATTTTAGAAAACCTTAAGCTGAAAGGCCTCTACGTCTAACTAAACTAAAAATTTAGGCTATCTGAGCTCATAGATATGTGCACAAGGACTTGATTAAGCATGAAAACTACACCTTAAAGAGAATTTGAGAAGGAGATATAAAATTAGTCCCATCACTTAGTAAGAAACACGGTTGTATATAAGGTATGGATTTAATTCCTGATATGTTCCCACGATAGCCCCTGTACCTTGACTTCCTTGAACACTTAGCTCTTGTGGTAGTTCCAAAACATCATCGGGATGTGGGATGCAGAATCCATGGAAGAGCACCAAGTCAAAGCACTCATGCAGGAGCTGCATGTTCACTCGTGAGCACACACTCATGAACCCAACAGCTACACCTTCCACCTGAAACATACAAAATATCTCATCACTCTATCAGACCTCAAATGAATTCTCATCATGAAACTTCCATAAGCCCATAGCCCATGGGTGGTTGGTAGTTTGGTAGGCACTTTGAAATGTTTAAGGAAGGGAGCAGTATTTTTCTTTAGTAGTTCTAGTGTCCAGCACAATGCATGGCATACACAACATGCTCAAAACAATGTTTGACAAATGACCACTGTGTACAATACTAGAAATGGATATGTAACATAGGGAAGCTGTAACAGGGTGCAGCCAAGAGGGGGGCCCCAAGTAGAGATTTGAAATGGGGTCTAGAACTCAAGGTGTTCAGGAAATATTAGGATGTCTTCACCCCCACTCCACAGGTATGGGTTGGGGGAAGGGACAAATGGAGCAGGGCCATTGAGAACTGTCTTGCATAGCAACAGCTTTACAGCTAACCTCTGGTGTGGTCATTTAACATATCTATAACCTTTAACTGGTTACATAGATATGCTAAATGGCTGTGGCCACGCTCTGAGCCAGGGAAATGGAAGTAACTTCCCCACCAAGATGTAATTGGAGGGGCAGGTCCCCCGAGTTACAGTGTCTGCGTGGGAGCTTGAAGAAGACTGGCTCCATGACATGGGGCCACGCCTACCCAGACTCACAATGGTAGCTCAGTAAAGCTGGAAGGATATGAGAGTGCTGGCAAGTGTAGCCAATTGTGGAAGGAGTAGGAAATGGGGCTGCAGAGGAACACTGGCACGGGGATTTAAACTGAGACGTGGCTGGGGCAGTGGAGAGAGAACCACATGGCTTTGCCAGAGTGGGGACTCCCGTGGCCATTGTGCAGAGAGGACCACATGGCTGTGGCAATAGAAAGGAGAACCACGTGGCTGTGGACATGTAAAAGAACCATCCCACTTTAGCGCAGATCCCAGCAACACAGCTGATGGTGCCAGGAACTGAGGGAGGCCTACCAGCTGACACAGATTACTGGGAAGAACTGGGGGCTGCCTGAGGCATGGACTTCTTTTTCTTTTACTGAGATACGGTACCCTAGACTGGGAAGAGGGGGAAGGAAGGACTGTGTGTGTTTGTGGGTGTTTTAAGGGACTTTCGGGTTTTGATGAAGACATTAGGTCACTACTTTAAATCTGTATAGCATTAAATAGAAAAGCAACAAAGAAGCCCAGAGCAAGTAGAAGGAAGGAAATAACCAAGGTCAGAGCAGAATTAAATGACATAGAGACTAAAAGCACAATTCTAAGGATCAATGAATCCAAGAGTTGGTTCTTTGAAAAGATAAAAAAAAAATCGACAAGCCTTTAAGCAGACTCATCAAGAAAAAAAGAGAGAAGACCCAAATAAACACAATCAGAAATAAAAGAGGAGAGGTTACAACAGATACCACAGAAATACAAAGGATTGTAAGAAATCACTACAAAGAACTGTATGCCAAGAAATTTGAAAACCTAGATGAAATGGACAAATTTCTAGAAAAATATAATCTTCCAAAACTCAATGAAAAAGAAGCAGAAAGCCTGAACAGACCAATAACAGCAAAAGAAATTGAAGCAGTAATCAAAAGACTCCCAACACACAAAAGCCCTGGACCAGATGGTTTCACAGGAGAATTCTACAAAGCATTTAAGGAAGAGCTAACCCCTATCCTTCACAGACTATTCCAAAAAATCCAAAAAGATGGAAGACTCCCAAACTCTTTTTAGGAGGCCAACATCATCCTAATTCCAAAACCAGATAAAGACACAACAAAGAAAGAAAACTTCAGGCCAATATCGCTGATGAACACTGACACTAAAATCCTCAACAAAATACTGGCAAACCGCATCCAACAATACATTAAAAAGATCATACACCATGACCAAGTGGGATTCATTCCAGGGATGCAAGGATGGTACAATATTCGCAAGTAAGTAAATATAATACATCACATAAACCAAAGCAAAGACAAAAACCACAGGATCACATCAATAGATGTAGAAAAAGCATTTGATAAGGTACAGCACCCATTTATGATAAAAACACTCTGCAAAGTGGGAACAGAGGGATCATTCCTCAACATAATAAAGGCCATTATGAGAGACCTACAGCGAACATCATACTCAATGGGCAAACATTAAAATCTTTTCCACTAAGATCAGGAACAAGACAAGGCTGTCCACTTTCACCACTTCTATTCAATATAGTAATGGAAGTTTTAGCCACAGCAATCAGACAAGAAAAAGAAATAAATGGCATCCAAATTAAAAAGGAGGAAAGAAAACTGTCACTGTTTGCAGATGACATGATAGTATACATAGAAAATCCTATAGACTCCACCAAAAAACTGCTTGACCTAATAAACAAATCTGGCAAAACAGTGGGATAGAAAGTCAATATCCAAAAATCAAAGGCATTTCTGTACAACAACAATGAAACAGCAGAAGCAGAAATAAAGAAAAAAATCCCATTTGAAATAGCAAGAAGAAAAATAAAATGCCTAGGAATAAACCTAACCAAATAGGTAAAAGACTTGTATTCAGAAAACTACATAACACAGAGGAAAGAAATCAAGGAAGACACAAACAAATGGAAACATATACTGGGTTCATGGACTGGAAGAATTAACATCATCAAAATGTCCATAGTACCCAAAGAAATTTACACATTCAATGCAATACCCATTAAAGTACCAATGGCTTATTTCACAGACATAGAACGAACACTTCAAAAGTTTATATGGAACCATAAACAACCCTGAATAGCTGGTGCAATTTTGAGAAAGAAGAGTAAAGTAGGAGGGATCACAATACTTGACACTAAACTATACTACAAGGCCACTGTAATCAAAACAGCCTAGTACTGGCATAAAAACAGGAACATGGACCAGTGGAACAGAACAGAGAGCCCAGAAATAAACCCAAGTCTCTATGGTCAATTAATATTTGACAAAGGAGGCAGCAACATAAAGTGGAGTAAAAATAACTTCTTCAACAAATGGTGTTGGGAGAACTGGACAGCTACATGCAAAAAAATGAAATTACAGCACCAACTTACACCTTATACAAAAATAAATTCAAATAGATAAAAGACTTAAATATAATCCGTGACACCATTGAAGTCTTATAGGAGAATGTAGGTAGGAAAATCTCAGATATTTCATGCAGAAAGTTTTTTACTGACATGTCCCCTAGAGCAACGGACGTAAAGGAAAGAATAAACAAACGGGGCCTCATCAAAATAAAAAGCTTCTGCACAGCTACAGAAAACAGTATCAAAATAAAAAGAGAACCAACTGTATGGGAAAACATATTTGCCAATGATACCTTGGACAAGGGTTCAATCTCCAAAATATATAAAGAACTTACACAACTCCATTCTAAGAAGACAAGCAACCCAATTAAAAAATGGGTAAAGGACTTGAACAGACACTTCTCCAAAGAGGACACACAGAGGATCCAGAGACACATGAAAAGATGCTCAATATCACTACCTATCAGAGAGATGCAAATTAAAACCACAATGAGATACCACTTCACACCAGTCAGAATGGCCATCATAAACAAAACAACAAACAACAAGTGTTGGAGAAGTTGTGGAGAAAAGGGGACCCTAGTGCACTGTTGGTGGAACTGCAGACTGGTACAACCACTATGGAAAGCAGTCTGGAATTTCCTCAGAAAACTAAATATGGATCTGCTTTTTGACCCAGTAATTCCACTGCTGGGACTATATACTAAGAACACTGAAACACCAATACAAAAGAACCTTTGCACCCCGATGTTCATAGCAGCACAATTTACAATAGCTAGATGCTGGAAGCAACCTAGATGCCCATCAGTAAGTGAATGGATCAAAAAACTATGGTACATTTACACAATGGAATTCTATGCAGCAGAAAGAAGGAGCTCCTACCCTTTGCAACAGCTTGGATGGAGCTGGAAAGCATTATGCTAAGCGAAATAAGCCAGGCAGTAAAAGACAAATACCATATGATCTCACCTTTAACAGGAACCTAATCAACAGAACAAAGAAGCAAGCAAAATATAAGCAAAGACACTGAAATAGAGGACAGACTGACAGTGACCAGAGGGGAGAGAAGAGGGAATTTCAGGGGAGAGAGAGAATGGGAAGGGTTTACAGGAGAATGGGAAGGGTTTACAGGAACAAATTTAAAGGACATATGGACAAAAGGTAGGGGGAGGGTGGTAATGGGAGGGAAGTGGGTTGGGTTGGGTGGGTGGTCTGGAATGGGAGTAAGAGGGAGAAAACTATACTTGAACAATTATTAAAATAAAAATAAATAAATAAATAATTAAATAAAATAAACATTTCCTTTCCTTTTCACGAATCTCTGGCATTGAGAGACGTCTTTCCTTTGGCAACAGACATAACGAACCTGGGGGCGTTCCTTTTGGTCATAGCATACTGCCCTTTCCTCCTTCCCCCCCGCTTTTGTTCTATAATAAAGCTGCCAGAGAGCCCTTAAGGGGAAACTATTTGGAACTTAACATGTGCATTTTTTGCCCAGGCAATGTTCTTGCCCGCCCCATGTTCTTTTTATTATCCCACTGCAAGCCCAGCCTTCTGTCCACTCTCCTGCCCTCTACCATGCACAGTTCACAGTAAGACCAGCCATTGTTCCAGTGTCCATCTGATTGACCACTGAGTCAGAGAAAGTTCATGGTTGCTCACTCTTAATTATCTTAATTCATTAATTTGATTAGATGGTCTCATGGAGAGGAGATATAAGGAAAGAGGTTTGGTGAAAATGTTTGAGTAAACTCAACTCATGGGTATAATTTACAAATGCATCCATCACCTCCCAGCATCATAACAGATACCTGGTTTATACCTCTTGCAATGGTCCCTGTGATTTTTGACCTTTGATGAGCAATACACAGGTAAGAATATGAATGTAACAGAGTGGTAAAATAAGAAATATATATTTGATCTTCATTCCTGGTCCAAGCGCAAGCTCCAAAAACACTTGCAATTTCCTAAAAGGATCATCTTTG